ATTCAATCCCCAGTACTTCCCCTTTCCCTTCCCTCCTCCCTCTCCTGTTCCTTCCCCTCTACTCTGCTGATCTTCCTGATGTATGTACACAGTTTTAAAATTCGTGCCTTGTGAATGTACATGAAGGTGTTTCACTATGCTATATGCATATATGTACATAGAAGAGTTAGGTCAGGTTTATTCCACCATTCTTCCCTTATCCGGACCCTCTTCCCTGTCTCCTGATCCTCTTTCTCTTCTTTACTGATCCCTCTTCTATTTTGATGGAATTCCTCCCCTGCCCCCCGATATTTTTTAACCCTTATTTTGGTATCGCTTTCACATATCAGAGAAAACACGTGACCTTCCACTTTCTGGGCCTTGTTTATTTCACTTAGCCTGATGGCCTCTAGTTTTATCCATGTACTGGTAAATGCCATAATTTCATTCTTCTTAATGGCTGAGTAATATATATATAACATTTTTTTAATCCATTCATCTGTTGAAGGGCACCTAGATTTGTTCTATAGCTTGGTTATTGGGAACTGTGTTGCTATAAACATTGACATGATTGCATCCCTATAGTATACCAATTTGAGATCTTTTGGATATATATTAAAGTATAGGACACCTGGGTCATAGGATAGTTTCATTCTTAATTTTGAGGAATCTCCATACTGCTTTCCAGAGTGCTTGAATAATTTGCATTCCCACCAATGATGTATAAGTGTGCCCTTTTTCCCATATTCTCGCCAACATTTATTATTATTTTTACTCTTGATAATTACAATTATAACTAGCGTGAGATGAAATTTTTTTCTCTTCCTTTTTTTATTTGTTCTTTTTAGTTATACATGACAGTAGAATGTATTTTGACATATTATACATTCATGCAGTACAAGTTCTCGTTCTTGTAGTTATGTTATGTACAATTCATTCTACTGTTTCCTTTGCTGTGAAGGAGCTTTTTAGTTTGATACCATTCCATTTTTTGATTATTGATTTTACTTCTTGTGCTTTAAGAATCAAATTGAGGAATTTGGTTCCCAAGCTGATATGATGGAGAGTTAGGCCTACTTTTTCTTCTACTAGGCACAGCATCTCTGTTCTAATGCCTAAGCCCTTGATCCACTTTGAGTTGGATCAAGGGCTTAGGCAGGGTGAGGGACAGAGGTCTAATTCCATTTTATTACATATGGATTTCCAGGTTTCCCAGCACCATTTGTTGAAGAGGCTATCTCTTCTCCAATGTATGTTTACGGCACCTTTGTCTAGTATGATATAACTGTATTTGTGTGGGTTTGTCTCTGTGTCTTCTGTTCTGTACCATTGTTCTTCATGTCTATGTTGGTGCCATCACCATGCCACTTTTGTTACTATAGCTCTGTAGTGTAATTTAAGGCCTGGTATTGTGATGCCTCTTGATTCACTTTTCTTGCTAAGGATTGCTTTGTCTATTCTGGATCTCTTACTTTTCCAAATGAATTTCATGACTATTTTTATTTTTCTATGAAGAACATCACTGGAATTTTAATAGGAATTGCATTAAATCTATATAGCACTTTTTGGTAATATGGCCTTTTTTTGATAATATTAATTCTGCCTATCCAGGAGCATGGACCATCTTTCAATCTTACAAGGTATTCTTCAGTTTCTTTCTTTAGTTTTCAGTGGTTTTTATTGTAGAAGTCTTTCAGCTCTTTTGTTAGATTGATTCCCAAATATTTTATATTTTTCCAGGCTATTGTTAATGGAATAGTTTTCCGAATTTCTCCCTCAGTTGATTCATCACTGATATATAGGAACACATAGTTGATTTATGGGTGTTTATTTTATATCCTGATACCTTGTTGAATTTACTAATGAGTTCTAGAAATTTTCTGGTGGAGTTATTTGGGTCTTTCTTCTACATATAGAATCATGTCATCAGCAAATAAGGATAGTTTGAATTCTTTTTTTTCCTATTCATCCCTTTAATTTCTTTCTTCTGTCTAACTAGAGTTTGAAATACTATGTTGAAGACAAGTGATGAAAGAGGGCACCCTTGTCTTGTTTTAGTTTTTAGAGGGAATACTTTCCATTTTTCTTAATTTAGAAAGATGTTGCCCTTGACTTTAACATCCATAGCGTTTACAATGTTGAGTTATGTTCCTACTATCCCTAGTTCTTCTAGGATTTTGAACATGAAGTGGTGCTGTATTTTGTCAAATTTGTTTTCTGCATCTATTGAGATTCTTGTCTTTAAGTCTATTGATGTGATAAATTATGTTTATTGATTACCATATGTTGAACCAAGCTTGCATTCTCAGATGAATCCCACTTGATTGTGGTGAATGATCTTTTTAATATGTATGTGGTTTACCAGAATTTTATTGAAAACTTTTGCAGCTATGTTTATCAGGAATATTGGTCTGAAGTTTTCTTTCCTTGATGTTTGGACCAGTCCTGCAAACAAGAGGCCATGGGGCAGAAAGTATATAGGATTCTAGAGTAGATAATGGGTGATGTTGTACATATATTATTTTTGTATGTTTTTAGCAGGAATGCCTAAAGACCCCCATCCACACACCACCTTTTTCCATTAGCCTTTGCTCAAACCAGAGCAGTAGCTCTCCAGAATATATGTGAATGCATAAGTTGTAGTTGAACACAATCCCTTTATTTTATTCATTTATTTTAATATGGTGCTGAGGATCAAACCCAGGACATCACACATGCTAGGCGAGCACTCTACTGCTGAGCCACAACCCCAGCCCCAAAGCTGTATTTTTTTTATGTTGTGGCTAGAACAATTTTAGTTGAGGATTTTCTAAATTTCTGAGATGTGAACCAAAATCAGGGATTATGTGATGCTATCCCCCAAATATTGCCAATGGCCTGGGTTGCACCAAGTAGTTTTGATTCCATGTTCAGAAATTATGTTTTTAAAAATAAAGCATTAAGTCATGTCCCTACTTTCTGATTAGCTTATTGTTTGTTGCCAGATACCTTTGGCTTCTAGACGAGAATTCAGTGCACTTGAAAGTACAAAGTAATCCCTTAGAGAATGCACACAGCTCAAATACATTTGCTCATAAAAACCTCTGCCTTTTCAATAACCACTGAACCAGAGATAGGTATATTCTCAGTGTGTGTCACTAAAAACACTCATATAAAACACCCTCTAGCTATTCAAGTTTAGGGCTATGTATAATATAGCTTTTGTTCAGCAGTTTTATTTTAATCTGAATGTGCAAAGACTTTCAGCAACTGTTCTTTATGGGCCTGCATGTCACATAATGTTGACAAACCAGCATTTTATTGATGCATAAAAGCTGTTCTCATCAAACAAGTAGGCAGAGCTATCTATTTTTCCTCTTAATATGAATATGAATCTTGGGCTTCCTACTTCAGGTTTTTGAAAGCTTAGAGTGGGGTGTGTTGTCTTGTACTTTCTAGAAAATACACATAGTTTGATTCTACAGTTAATCCTTTACAGGACTTGTTCATTTGATGAAGGATTGCATTCATTCTCACTCTAACCCACCAATTTAAAAAAAAAATTAGAGTCATTTCCTTCTTATGGAAAAATGGATTTTATTGTTTGAGAACTAGAAACCCAGAGGACCCTGGTGGAGGCCAGCTGCCATATAAGATGTCTAACCACACTGAGACCCACCACACTAGAGGGGAGATGTGTAGGCACTGGGTTGATAGCCCAGCTCAGTTCCAGACGACAGCCAAACAAATGGCATGCCATGGAGTGGCTGTCTTTCATATCTAGCTAGGACAAGCATGGATGACAGCAGTTCCAACTGATATCTGACTGCAAGCACAGAAAAAAAAAACATAACTAAGAACCACCCAGTTTGCCATTTGCCCAGGGAGAACTTTGGAGCTTCACCAGATTGGATGCAAGTTAAAAGATTGGTGAAGAGTCCAGGAAGGGTTGATGCAGGTGGTAGGAATATTTGTAATTTATAAGCCCATAACAATCTCAAACATAACACCCATGTTTCTTCCCTTCAAGGCACAATCAGTGGCACCTTCATGTTGCCCATGAAGTCCATTAGAGTGTTGTTGGCATTTTGTGGTGAGCTTTTCTTGGAGGCTTCCCTCCAACTGAACTGGCGCATGAATGCCCATGACCCCTCCTGACGCTGTACCATCTGAGGCCTGATGCCATTTCTGTCATCATATCCCTTTCAGTTGTCTCTCACTTCCTGAGTTTGAATTTTGGCTGTTCAATGATATTATTATTATTATTATTATTTTTTATTTTTATTTGACTAATTATTTACCAAATTCACTTCTTTTCTTAAATACTCCCAATAGCCCATTTAAATTACATCATGATTGGCTATAGACATTTTATTTGTAACAAATTTACAGAGTGGTAAAATTGTTGAAAATGTGGAGGAAAGGAAAAAATAACCCTATAATTTTATTTTTCATTTGGAGAAAGTATTGTTTGCAGAATTCCACAGAAATACAAAAGCAATGTACTTTGGTTGAACCAAGTAAGATGGGTGCAGCTAAGTGATGGTTGGGGTGTGAGAGGGTCACTTACCTCCTCCAGGAAGGTACCTTTTCAGGCCATCTGCAGGACTAGAAGTCTTCCCTCTGCTCATTACAAGTCTTGTCTAGACTTATCTTTGAAATCTCAATGTAGAATCACCCTGTCAAAAGTAGTACTTTCTCACTTTACAACTGCTAGAAGAAAATGGGCCAAGACTCTATCTTATGGGTACAGGCATTGACTTCCTTAACAAGATGCCTGAAGCTCAAGAAGTAAAAACAAGAATAAATTATTAGGGTGGCATCCCATTAAAAAGCTTCCGAACAGCAAAGGAAATGATTAAGAGCATGAAGAGAGAGTCTACAGAAATGGGAGAAAATCTTGCCAGCTGCTCTTCTGATAGGGGATTCATATCCAGAATATACAGAGAATGCAAAGCACTTAACACCCAAAACCCCACAAATAACCCAATCAGTAAATGGGCAAAAGAAATAAACAGGAACTTCTCAAATGAAGAAAACAAGTACTCACTTTGGCAGCACTTACACTAAAATTGGAACGATACAGAGAAGATTAGCATGGCCCCTGCTCAAGGATGATATGCAATTTTGTGAAACATTCCACATTTTTATAAAATTTTCTAAGAAATGATTTGAAAATGAAAATTTATTATTTGCATTGCTATCCAATCTGGTTAAAGGTTGTCTACGTTGTTTTGTTTCTAATCTGTTTTTAACATGACAGTCAGGGCTGATAATCAGAGAGACTCTTAGATCATTACAATGTATTTAAACCCTTGAGGGTTATGATGGATTCCTAGAGTACAAGATGGTGATATTTACTTGGATTATGTGTAGATCCAATAAAAATGAAATATAACTGTAAGAACATTGAACAAAAAAGAAGAAGAAGAAACACAAATGGCCAACAAATATATGAAAAACTGTTCAACATCTCTAGCAATCAGGAAAATGCCAATCAAAAGTACACTAAGATTTCATCTCACACCAGTCAGAATAACAATTATCAAGAATACAAATAATAAAAAATTCTGGTGAGGATACGGGAAAAACCATATATTGATACATTGTTGGTGGGACGACAAATTAGTACAGCCATTTTTTAAAGCAATATGGAGGTTCCTCAAAAAAACTAGAAATGGAGTCACTATATAACCTAGCTATCCCACTCCCCGGTGAATATCCAAAATTACCTAATATCAGCACATGACAGGGATATGATCACATTAATGGTTATAGAAGCACTATTTACAATAGCCCAGATGCCCATCAATAGATGTATGGATTAAGAAATTGTGGTGCCCAGTTCCACTGACAACTAAAAATAAATATTAAAAAAATTTGAGGTATATATACACAATGGAGTTTGACTCAGCCATAAAGAAGAATAAAATTTTGGCATTTACTGGTAAGTGGATGGAAATAGAGAATACTATGTTAGGCAAAATCAGCCAGATTCAGAAAATTAAGGGTTGAATGTTTTCTCTGATACGCAGAACCTAGCACAAAGTAAGGGGAAAAGTTATATGTGCTGGGGGCTGGATACCAAAAAGATAGGGAAGATCAGTGAAGGAGAAGATTAAAAGAGGGGAGAGGGATGGGAAAGTGAAAGAAATATGGAATGAATTTAACAAAATCATTCTATGTGCACATATGAATATACCACAGGGAATTTTACCTTTGTGTGTGTATACAAGATACTAATCAAAAACAAACAAACAAGGGAAGATGGGCTGAGTAGGAGAATAGGGGGAGAGAGAAGAGGGAAAGTGATGGGGGATGGAGAATAATAATGGATTAAATCAAATTCCATGCATGTATACTTTTGTCAAAATGAACCCAATTACTGTGTATAATACAATTTATAGTAAAAAAGTAGGCTTTTCTCTATTATTGTTTTTTTGGGGGGATTTAAATTTTTTTAAAAAATCATCTTAATTCATTATTCATGACAGTAGAATGCATTTATGCGCTTTGATATATCACACATATATGGGATATAATTTCTCATTTTTCTGAGTGTACATGTTGCAGAATCATATTGGTCATGCAGTCACAAATATACATACAGTAATAATGTCTGTTTCATTCTACTATCTTTCCTATCCCCACATCCCTTCCCTTCCCCTCCCATCACTTCCCTCTACCTCATCTCAGGTGACACTCTTCTTCCCTAGTGCCCCCGCCCCCCACTTATGGTGAATTAGCATCCGCACATTAGAGAAAACATTGGCCTTTGGTTTTGTAGGATTGGCCTATTTCGCTTAGCATGATATTTTCCTCTGTTATTGTTTTTATTATTATTATCTCAGCAAACTTTCCCTCACAACACTGATTTCAATTTTGCAACTACTGTGATTCAAAAATTTCATGATTTCATAATTACTGTTTTATAGTTGCTATTGTGGATTTGGTACTTAGATTCTCCTTCATTATTATGAACTCTTTGAGGACAGAAGGAGGAGACACTTCTTATTTGTTGCTAATTCACATGTACCAAGCTTAACTCTAGGTATACATAGTATGTGCTCAATAAAAATTATCTAAATGCTCATAATGTGGTGTCAAGACCATTATAACACAATTCTCATAGCTGAAATACGGGTACATGCTATTCCTGTAAAAATTAAAATTATAGTATAAGATGTGGACTACTGGAATAACATTTTTGGTATTATTTAGATATACAAGAGCACAGATGGCCATAAGCAAGTTTATCAAGAGATAAAGCTTGGTTTTGGTAATTTCCCTTGTCACAGATTCTCTTTCTCCTTTCTGAACGCACCAGGAATATTTGAATTTTAGTAAGGTATCTCAGCTCATGCTGTAACAAAATAACATGGATTGTGTGGCTAAATACATGACAGAAAATTAATCCTCACAGTTCTGGAGCTTAGGAAGTTCAAGACGGAGCTTCCAGAACATTCAGAGCCATCTGGTTGGGACTTACTTCCTGTTCCTACCGGACTGTGTTGGCTGGATCCTCACATGGCAGAAGGGCAGGGACTTCCTCTTGTACTTCTTTCATAAGGGCCCTAATCCCATTCACAAAGGTTCTATCCTCATAACCTGATCACCTCCAACCGCCCCACCTCCAAACACTATCACTATGGGTCTATGGATCCAATATGGGAACTTGGAGAGACATGAACATTCAGAGCAGAGCATAAGGACAACTCCTAAAACTAACAAAATAAAACAAAACAAAAGTGTCCTGTGATCCCCAGGTATTAACTGATTTTTTTGCATGTTGTATTTGGGATGTCCTGATGGGACAGGAGGAGAGAGGGACTGGGATGTGCTCTGCTTAGATGGTACTGTGGTTGGAATGTGTCTCCTAGATTTCATGTGCTGGAAACTTAATCTCCAAATTCATATGTTGGTGGTATTTGGACGTGGGGTCTTTGGGAGATGATAAGGATTAGAGTATCCCCTCAGGGTGAGCCCCATGATGAGACTGGCTTGTGAGAAAAGGAGGAAAGGCCTGAGCTGACATATACTTGCTCCATCTCCCCATCAGATGCCTTCCACCATTTGTGAAGCAGCACAAGCCTCTCACTACATGCTGAGGAGTCACCAGTGTCTTGTTCTTTGAATCCCCAGGCTCCAGAACAGTGAGTCAAATAAACTTTTTCTCTTCATAAATTACACAATCTCTGATATTTTGTTATAGCAACAGGAAATGCTCTAAGATTGCTGGTGAAGCCCTGTAGCATCCCTCAGACGATACCATGCTGGATGCTAGCTTCTCTGCTAACCCATAGCATCATCTTGAGCAAGAGCTTTTGGTTATAAAAGTAGGGAGGTTGAGAAGTGGTTTAGATGCATTGTCCAATCCCGTTTTTGAATATTTGGAAGCACGCTTGTTATCCAGAAAGTGAGCTCAGTGCCATTCTAACTGATTCTAGCACAGAGGAACCATAGATGGAGAGGACAAGAGTATAGACGGAGCTGGAGATGGTTGGTCGGGTGAATCTCCTTTTGCCATCCACCAAATCCGTGATCCCATGTAGCCACTTTAAGGCTCTTATTGCCCTGCATGTAATTGCAAAGTTTCAAATTACGTACACAACACCACACATAGTAGGTAGCTGCACATGTGAGGTGCCTGATGAAGAACCCTCGGAATCCTGACATTCTGTCATTCTGTGGTTGTTATGAATCAAATATAAGCATTTAGCTCAAATTTTTATATAGAGTTTGCTATTTCTCTCAAATTAGTTAACTATAACCAACCAGATACGCAAAAATATATCAAATATCATTTTATTAACCTTTTTTGTAAATCATAAATAGAGTAATATTATAAGTTCTATTTTGTGTTTAGCTTTGTATGTTCATAGAATTTATCCATTCTTTTTTAAAGAGCTGTGCTAAGTTTGATCAAGAAAGAGGTATTTTCACAGAGGTATCTCTTCATGCCCCAAAAACCTATCCAGTTTTTTCCCTTAACATCACCTAGGTAGACTAGCTGTTCCTCATTCTCCCTTCTGACCCTTCTCCTGGTTGCTGGATCTGTGATCCACTCCTCTTCCTGTTGGCCACTTGTGGAGCCTGCTCATCATATCTGATTACATCATCTCAGCCTGTCTCCATTTGGTAATGGCTATTAGATAATAGTCATGTTTTGTAAGTTAGCAGTCAAGCAGAAAGGAGGAGCTCAGGGAAGTGAAATTTTCACAAGTCCAGCAGCAAGGGCTGCCTGTGATCCCCAAGGGGGAAAGTCATTCATTTATTTCTGCATTGCTGATTTCATCGTTCAGTTTGATTTCTTTAGGGAGTATAGAGTGCAAAACATCCCTCGGGGTCAAGTTTTGGAATATTTTTACTTTAATTACTACAGAAAAGGAAGAAGAAGCAATAAAGCCTAAATTACATGAGAAATACATATAACTGTTCTGTAATATGGCTAACATGACTCTTATGCTATTGAAGACCTGGTGCCATTCTGACTACTTCATTCCATAGACATTTTGATATCAGTGTCTGATGTTGTTAAACACTTAAATCATATGACAAGCTGTTCTTGTTATTACCTGGATAAGCAAAAATTTTCTGACTGTAGATGGGCAACTCATAAATTTTACTTTGATTGAAAGAGCTTATTGCAAATTAATTAATGAATTGGTATGAAGGTTGTATACATCAGAATTTTATATGTGAGTTTCAACTTAAGCTGGCAGCCTTGGTCAGAAAGACTTTGCTACACTGGAATTTCTAGATCTGCTAAGCTGAGGACCTGTTATCAAGATAGGGGTGACTTGGGGTGGTGGTGCACATCTGTAATCCCAGCAGCTTGGGAGACAGAGGAAGGAGGATCGCAAGTTCAAAGCCAGCCTAAGCAAAAGTGAGGTGCTAAGCAACTCAGCGATACTGTGTCTTTAAAATACAAAATAGTTAGGGAAGTGGCTCCGTGGTTGAGTGTCCCTGAGTTCAGTTCCTGGTACCCCCTCCCCCAAAAAACTGATAGGGGTGAGCTATCAATTTGTCCCAAACAGTGCACTGTTGAGGATGCTGTGGAGTACTGTCCAGATCCTCTATCAAGACTAAAGGATTTATTAACCTAACTTTTGGGGAGGTTGTCAGCTGTGACTTGTCTTTGGAATTGGC